TGTCTGTCTGTCTGTCTGTCTGTCTGTCTGTCTGTCTGTCTGTCGTCTGTCTGTCTGTCTGTCCTCTCTCTGTCTCTCTCTCTCTCTCTCTCTCTCTCTCTTCTCTATCTCTCTTCCCTCCCTCTCTCTCTCTCTCTCTCTCTCTCTCTCTCTCTCTCTCTCTTCTCTCTCTCTCTCTCTCTCTCTCTTCTCTCTCTCTTTCTCTCTCTCCCTGAAGAAAAATGTGGTGTGATTTGTGTGAAGGAATACATACTAAAATTACACCACACTTTTCACTGTCACATCCTCTACACCACTGCCATATCCACTATTCCAGCGACATGCTCAATAAACCCCTGTCTTACCCACCACACTAGTCTCACCCATTTCAATGATACACGACTGCCCCACTTTACACCACTAGCCTACCCACCACGATGCTGCCCTGCTCAGTACACCACTGTCCGATCCGCTACACCAGTAACAGGCCCACTACACCACATCCCAAAACCTCTGCTCCATCTATTATACCACTGCCTCAGCTACTACACCACTGCCCTTCCCACTACACATGCTCCGTCCAATACCCCACTGCTCCACCAACTACACCGCTGATAACCTAGCTCACCATTGCCCCAACCGCTACACCAATGCCTCATCCAGTATAATAATGCCCTGTCAAATATAAGCTACCACTGCCCCACCCACTATAAACTACCACTGATCTACCCACTACACCACTGCCGCACCCAGAGCATCTGTGTCTCACCCACTACACCAGTGGCCCATCGAGCATGCATACATACATACATACATATATATATATATATATATATATATATATATATATATATATATATATATATATATATATATATATATATATCTGTGTGTGTGTGTGTGTGGTGTGTGTGTGTGTGTGTGCGCGTGCACACACACACGCACACACATATATAGATTATACACAGTTGATCTATAAACAATAAGATGCACCATGTGCGATATTTTCTCATGACACGAAATACTGCTCGTCAAAAAAAAAAAAAAAAAATCAATTTTTTTTTTTTTGTATTGAAGTTATGTCAGAAAAATTGATAATCATAATAACAGGTTTTTGCGCCACTGACAGGTCTGAGATTGCTTATTCTTTCGCAAGGTTTGACCATCAGTGTTCGTGGCTTTTGATGTATTATTTAGCCCTCTTACACAGAAAAAAAATAGATGGCGATTACCGTATTTACAAATCTAAAGTCTATTTGTACAAGTGATTAGAATGACAATGTTATACATGCGCAGGGTTAAAATGGGTTAAATATATGTACGCTGCAATATACTGTTAGCAAAACTTCAAGTAGAATGTGAAGTGAGACAGCTTTATAAAAGACATAACTACACTGCCATGCACTTTATTTCAAATGATGGCAATAGTTAACTCAACAAAATATACAAGTAAATTTAGCACTGCCTATCAATCAATCCATCATGGAATTCTGCCCTGCCGTCTCTCCTTTTCTACTTCTGAGCAGTCGGCCAGGCAGTCTGAGCTTCACAGGCCCGCGGTGAAACATGCAGGAACTAATTCCGAGAATGCACTGTACTTTACCACCAGCATTCACCATTCTCTTCTTGCCTGAAAACTGAGAACAAAGGTCGCCGAATTGATGATCATTCCGTTGAAATATTCCTTATCCATTCATATCTCTTCCTGTCTTTGTTAGATATCATTCATCTGTAACTCGAGTGACTATCATCAGTGGAAAAGAAATCAAACCATAATTTTTTTCGCTCAAATCACCCCGCAGTGTTGACCAGCCATAATGACTATTTTATGAGAACGTTTTTGTTAAATCTGTGATACAACAAAGTTGGACAGGTTACATTTATTATTTCTATAACATTCACATGATTACCTTCATAATAGGCCACATTAAAAGAATGTTTGTTGCAAATCAGTAAATCTACATCCATGCCCCAAACTTAATTGCAGACAGATATGAAACACGCTGATAATCCTGCAATATGCTTAACCTAGTTAATGCTACATTTCTACATAAAAGTCATATATACCGGATATAAAAACATATCGTCTTGCGGACACGGCAATGTGTAGTAACTTCCATAATCTCTGAAACACAATCATCTCTTATAAATCTACCTATTCATCATAACTTACTACTTCCAAGTGACAATCATTATATAAAGCATATCTACAACATTAAAAACACTACAAATATGTTTTACAAAATAACTCCATGTATAAAGCTTTTTATTATTTCCACTGATTTTTTTCATACTATTCATGTCATATTCACCTTGCACTTTGTAAAATTCCATGAGAAAATGGACTTTATATAGTTATAATAGTTTGGCCTTTCGCACAAAGCGGTATTGATAGCGATACCTGGAAAACCATGAAAATAAATCAATAGAGTTGTGGCGTGATAACAAAGGTCCTGAGGTATACTGCAAGCGGGGAGCCAAATCATTTGAAATGAAAAACTTCTAAATACAAACAAACCTTCAATTACAAAGACTTTACTCATTATGAATGCCATAAAAATACTGCAAAACCTGTCCGTGTTTTGCCTCCCAGGGGGAATGTTTGATGGCATTTATAATTCATAACTTTATACTCTGTAATTTAAGAGCAAAAAGTTTAAAGAACTTAAATGATTTGAACGTATTTGTAAAGCCGATGTTCCCGTTAAACCTTATGCAAGGATATGCTTTATACTCATAATAATTGTCGAATTGTAAAGAGAATGGGCACACAAGACTATGCTTTACACTCATAGAACTCAATTTCTAACGAGAAAGGTTACGATTTCCACCCTTACGGTTTAGCCCGAGTCAGCCTTCGTGTTTGCAGACGACGACGTAACTATGGACACAGAGTGCTTTCCGTCTCCTGTCTCGCACTCGTTACCCATTATGGATTCGTAGCAGTAAGTGTTTCGACAATGTCGTCATAGTTGTACATTACCCAGTGTGTTGAAATAGAAAGGGACTGAAATTAATCTAAGTCGTATACGTGATCATGTGCGAGTAGCGACCATTTCCCGTCATTGGAGCCAGGTGAGAATGACAGGTGTTGCTGTCTTCTGTAAACACGTCATGGACAGGTGTTTGTGGCTGGTTGATTTGTATTTTGGGAAATTGAATGGTGCAGATAAGGCGCTATCTTTTCATCGTGCATTGTGGTTTGCGGTACTTGCAAAGGAGAGACGCCAAACTTCACAATAATCAATGTGTTGATGTGTGTATCAGTGACGAGTGAGGATTTCGTGGTATCATCATGCGTTTGGATTATTTTAACATAAAAAACTTAGTGGATGACTAGATTTCGAGCTGCAGCTGATTTTGAGTGTGTGGTGTACAGAACTGTTATTGGGAAAATTGGATCAATTCTAGATTACAGTAGACTGAATGAAAGTACTGTCTGGATTTATATGTACCATTAATGAAAAGCTGAAAGCATATTAGGGAAACCTATTCAGTTGATACATGCTTGCAGTGAGAAGTTGAAGTCACAGAGTTCTACATACCTTAGTTCATGTCTCTGGGCTGCTAGACCAGGAACAAGCCATGAACTCAGTCAACGAGCGATTGGAAATGCCGGTACTTGTGCAGAAGGAACAAGCTAGTATTGTCAAGGCATTGGTACTGCCAGTTTGCTATATGGAAGTGAAACCTGGATGCTATCTAGTGCCTGGGAGTCATGCCATAATGCCTTATCCTAATGCCGGATCACAGGGTACATTGGCAAGTCCATATGTTCAACAGACAGTTACAATGTGAGACTGACATAGGACTGTTACTTAAACCAGGATTGCCAACTCAGGTTATACAGGGACCTAGATTGTTTACCTGTGGATGACCTACCCATCAGGTTGTCTCTTTATGAGACAGTCTCTTTACGAGACAATCCTGGGTGAAGGAGGCCTGTGGGACAACTAGGATGTTGTATGGGGAGATTGACCAAACCTATCACAAGGAGACAGAGAGGGGCCAAGGGTCTGCCAGTTGGCTTGCCAAGATGGACTCCCATGGCTGGAAGCGAAGCATCCAGTGATGAATATGATGAAAGAATAATGACATACCTTATCTTCTGTAAGATTTTAGGAAAAGGATTTTGTTAGGCATTTTACCTTGTTCTGCTTTTATGGTCTGTGATAGGATGGTATGTCATAGGTTTACTAATACCATACCCAATGGATAGTGGAATAAGGTTCAGTTTAAGATATTATAAATATAAGATTAAATTAGAAGCACATCTTGTATAAATAAAAAAGTTCCATCATCATATGACTAAATTTACAATATTATATATTATGGTACATATTCAGTATGATAGTTTTTTGTTTACAGTACACTTGTATATGGTGGTAAAATTATATTCTCTTGTGTTTATTGGCAGAAGGAGAAAATACTGACTATATTCATTTATCTTATTTCAGAGATGATGTATCTGAACATGAAATCTTCAGTTATCCACCCAACTTTATATTCATGTAAGATAATGTTTTCTTAATCCAGGGAACCCAAGGGCCTCATAAGCTTATTTCATAATAAAGCTTTGGAAATTGATTATTATTATTTGTGGAAGTCAAATGACACAGACATGTAGACCTATTGTTAGGGTGCTTGATAGGAAATGTTATTTATGTTAAAACCATAATTTTACAAGTAACAATCTGTATGGAGAATCTCGGGAAGCAATTTTCACACTTGAATTATTATGCTATGAGCTGAAGTGAGGCAGTTGAAATGGATAAAAAATTAAGAACAATTCAATTGAAGTTGGATGTTCATTAATTAAGTTCTTGTCTTGAATTAACCCCATGATGGAAGTTATGCATGGAGGCAAAACAAATAAAAAATAAATAGATAAATAAGATTGAATAGAATAGCAGATCGTGTAGAACAGCAAGACTGGCAGGAGAGGAAGAAGAGCTGAACGTTAATGAGGAAGGAGAGTAAGGTCTGATCTACAGAACGATTGGTACGTCTCCCCCTTTTGTTACACTGTTGCCCAGGGTTTGATGCAACTATTTTTTCTGCCAGTTTTCATGATATTAGTTTTGATCTGAACATCTGTAACCCTTGAAAAAATAATTGGCTAATGCCAAGCATATGATGTCACAATATTTACCCTATGTCATTTTCCTCACTTCAGTAGTTATGGTAAAAACTAAAACCCTTTTTTTAGTCTGATATAGGCTACCAGAAAACTATGAAGTTGTTTTAGTATCCTTTTATTTTAGTACACATTTCATTTTTGTATTATTATCTGTCTTTCATGTTGTGTCTATTTCTTTCCTATATCTGCCGTGTGATAATCAGATAACTCAAATGCTTCAATTTTGTGGCTTTAAATTTTCCATCACATATCCTTATTAATCGTATATCTTTTGTAGATATTATTATGAAATTATGTTTCCCAAGTACTTCGTAGTGTTATTGGCTTTGATATGCATTTTGTGATTTTTTTTCTCAAAGGTAGGATGTAGCCCAGCTGTTGTGAATTATGGGCCCTTGAGTAAAGAGAAGATGACTCAGGAGGAGGACGATCTGGAAGAAGAATTACGTTGCTTAGATATTCGTGAAGATCATGGGGCTGAAGAGAGTGATGTAACCCCTACAAATACACCTCCATCATCACCTCCTATTTTGTATATAAAGAAGTACCCACCAAGTCAACCTGTTGGATATGAAGAAAATAAAGATTTTGGAAGGTAAAGTAAACATTATATTAACTTAAAGTGTAAATTGATGTTATACATACATGCTGTGATGGATTACATCAATATTCATTTTGCTGGTTGAGGTATGGGTTTAGAATTGTATGTGATTATGATTTTCACAATTTCCATTATGGGAGCATTAATATCTTTTAACTGCTTTCAGATTTATTACAAATCTTTAGTAACTTGATATCATACTTGGTAAAAACTAGATACAACAGGTTTGATATCATACTTGGTAAAAACTAGATTCAACAGGTTTGAATCCAGTATCTCTGAAATTGAAAAGTTTATCATACTTGGTAAAGACTTTAGATACAACTGATTTGACTTCAGTATCTCTGGAATTGATAACTTTTAGTAGTAATGTATGATTATATATTACAGATATTCAAGAGGAGATGACAATGAATGCAGATCAGACTCCTCTTTATCATGGGGTGATGATGAGTTTGAAGGAGAGGCCACCAGACAAGTCAGTGCCCTCTTTGACCAACTTGACTCTTTGCTCTATCAGGATGACTCTGTAACCTCTGCTGTGCCATGGTCTGTTAGTGGAAGCACAAAAGTGTGTGTGAACGAGGATGAGAAAACTGTTTCACCTGCTGGAAGTATTGGGTACTTCTCAAGTCCAGAGAGTAATCCTGATGAACACATTGAAACCAATATAAAAACAATTAACAAAGATACAATTTTTAATGTGGATAATGTGGGATCACAAACTTTATTGTTAAACAGTGCAAGATTATTAGAATCAAGTTCTGGATTAGGTAGTGATCTTCTGGTAGCCCCTGAACCGACTCCAGAATTACTAGAGGAATGCTCAAATTGGGTACACCACTTTCCACATTTTAGGTAAGTTGCTTTTCTAAATTAGGTCTTGGTATATCACTACTGCTGGTTGTTATGACTGTGACCAAACTGGGGATAAATAATTCTGGGTGTATATGTGTAATTGTTTACATAAATACTTGATGTACTGTATGTATTTGAACAATGCTTCTCCTTATGTTTGTGTTTTTCTAATGTCAACAGAATTAGGGGGCGTGTATTGGAGACATCATTGCTTAATATCATAGAGCAGTATATGAATGAAGATTCTCTGTAAGTACTACTATTAAAAGATTTGCATAATAGTATTAATGAAAGGATACTAGTGCTCTACGTACTGCACAAGTTAAGGAATAGTTACTCTATGTACTTTAAAATTCCTACAGTATTGTATGTCAGTCATTCTCCTTCAATTTTTATGAGTTAACACTTTGGTTATTTATTTTCAGGCATGAAGAAACCTTAGAAAATGAGGAAGTGATTGAAGAAGATGGTCACTTTCACCATCTGCTGCCTATAGTTAATATTGTCAGTGCCAATCAAGTAAAAAATTCTTCTCATGTTAATCCAAAGACAGGGACTTCCAGTAGTCGAGTGTGTAGTGGATCAAATGATCCAGAAGTACTAAAAGAGCAAGTGCTCATAATGCTCTTTGATCATTTGTGGCCTACAGTGACAAAAGCAATTGAACCACTGCTTCATTCATATGCCAAGTATGTAATTGAACAGTCAGTACAATATTCATCTCTCTCTAGGGAGCCCAGTACTAGAGGGGCCAGAAGGGGTAGACAGACTCCTGTAAGAAAATATAGTGCAGATCTTGGGAGAGCTACTCAGAGGCACCTAAAGCTCCCAGAGAGTGTGAATAGACCTGATAGTGGCATTTCTGTTAGAGGATACAGAGCAAATCGTCCATTGAGTGGAATCCAGCGACCATCAAGTGCTATAAATAGATTGCAGGGTTTTCAGCCTACACCAAGTATCCACCAAGGAGAATTACAAGAACTTCTGCAGGTAACAACAAAACCATTGCAGAATGGAGAAGATAGATTACGTTCTAGAATCTCTTCTGCTTCACATACCCGTGAGTCTTCAGCTCGGTCCAGTCTGTCTTTGGTATCTCTTCCTTCTGTCACAACTCCTCGAGGCACAACACAGCGACCTGTATCTTCTAGAGCAGCTCATCATCTTCTGACCCCCATGCGCATTGACAGTTTTAGTACCACTTTGGAGCAAAGGCCATCATCTACCTCATCATATAATGCTCGTTCTAGGTTTGTGCATTATTCTTTATGATTCTTATTGTCGTTTTATAAACAGTGTTATTATTTATTAGTACTGCATTGTTCATTATCTTGACCCATTGGATTTGGGTGCCTTGTACCTTGCATGTGGACCAAAATTTGGACATAAGGTTTCTTTGAGTGGCAACTCTCTCAGGTGTGTAGTTTGTAGGGAATTGTCCTGAAACCATCCATGGAATTTAATATAGGATACTCAGATGTATGAAAATAAGCTCTTAGTATTTGTATCTCCTGTATATCGAACATGTAAAGAGATTTTCTTAGTATTAAAAGGAACAGTGAGATATACATGTAAAAAATGACCACAGTAGTATGTTGAATATTTCTTAATAGAGTTGATATGTTTTAGCATGATAAAAAATTACTTGAAGAGGTATAGAACATTTGCTATAAATAAAATCTTGATTAATGTAGGACAGAAATCTCGAGTATATTGCATGGTGTTATAAGGTAGGATCAAGCCAACTTAGAAATATTTCAAGTTTTGAGGGATGATATGAAAGCTGTTGGATAGGTTACCTTGGATGTAAGTTTTCAGTTGTTTTCAGTAAAAAATCCAGTTTGGAATGTCTTGGTATCTATAATGACCCATTGCCTTTTGGTATATGGAACTATTTGGAGATATTTTAATGACATTCATAGTACATTATATTGTGTATTAAATATTCAGAAATAACTAATTGTAACATTTTGACCTCTCAGATTTCAGGAAAAATTCCATCATTTAAGTAGACAAGGTACAATACAAGAAATGAGCAGTAATGTATCGGCTGTGGAAATTGAGGAAGAACCACAAGATTTTCCAAGTCCTACATGGTCTCGGCACATATCTTTCTTACCACCAATTGCAGATAATTCAAGCAGTAATTTACCAAAGGTACGTTAGCTACAATTAAGCTGTACATTGAGATCATGTGTAAATGTGTATGTGTTTATGTCTTTTGTTTCAAAGAGTTTTATATTATGTTTATATGTTTTAAAATCAAGGGTATCATGCTAATATTTTTTCATGTGATAGGTATATAGTGGTCCATCACTCTCAAGACAGAATTCATCCTCAAGAAGATCTGCCTCAGGAGAAAGAAGTTACCAGCCCAGTGGACATGACACTGTAAGTGGTGTATTATATAGGTTCAAAGTCATAAGGTAATATTGCTTTGTAGATTGTAGCTTAAATCTTGGCATGTACTGTTAAAACTAAGCTTTTTGTTTAGATCTTTCCTTTGCACATTGCTTATAAATTGCTGTTCCATATAGACTCAGATTTAACTACTATTAGGACTGTTAAAACTAGAGAATAAATAGATCACAAACTTTAGCGGTAACAGGCATGCATAAAAATATAATGAGTTCAGTCAGAAAAGTATAAACTGATGGAAAATGTAAGATTATTGAGTTTATATATATTAAATAAGATGTAAGTTGTAAGAAGTTTTTGATTAAAGAGAAAAGGAAAATAATTAAGTTAATATAAAGCTTAGCTTAATATAAAGTCTTGTAGCTGTACTGGCAGACTGAAAACTTGAAATCATTAATGTGTAAGATCTACACCATGTCCCTTCTACTTCCTGACCTTTTATATTGACTACTCCCAAATGTGGTTTAGATCACTTCAATCTTTTCAATTTCCAGTATTGTTCTCTTAATTTATTTTAGATTTTGCTGGTCAAGATATAAGTATATTTGAAGTCAGCAGATAACAGTTAGTTAAACATTAAGTGAGAAAAGCTCTATGCATGGAAAATTTTCAAAAATGAGTATTACAATCTAGCAAACTATACCAGCAGCAGTCCCAGGTAATGCCAGGGGAAGAATCGCAGCTATCCTCCCTTACTGTTAGAGGTACCACGTTGTCAGCAGCACATCGACCACATGCGCACACCAAACCCAAGAGGCATACATGGGGTAAGGTCCCATGTCCTGTAGCTACACTAAAATGAGAGCAGAAAAATGACTGTAGTCAGTGGACGTACAAGAAGTAGCTTGAGTCGTAAGCAGTAAATTAAGTAAGGGCACAGTTGAAAATCACAGTAACCAATTGTATAGGTTTGTGTATTTTATGGAAATTTCAGTGTTTCGTAGTTTGAATTTGTAATGATTGATTTTAGCTGAATGTTATCAGTAACTTTCATTTCACAAAACCAAACAGTCAAGATTGTTATATAAAACATATTTACATGCACTCGCATACATTTACCCACACCCACTCTCATAGGCACACCCACACTCATACTTACAGTCACACACACGCACACACACACACACACACACACACACACA